TATTCTGCTAATAGCATGATTAGAAGTCAAAATTGTATGAAAGACCCAGGGCTGCCTCCCTTCCTCTTTCTCTTCCCAAAAATCTCAGTTGGGAACTGTTTCCCATATGGAAGACTACTGAACCTTTGGATAAAGATGTGCACTAAGACCGATGGGTTAGAGAGGTCAGGGCTATGAGAGGTAACAAGAGTCAGTGAGTGACAAAATGCCTTCCTTATGGACACAGCTCCCTAGATTCCTCCAGTCTCTATGTAATACCTCAGAGCCCAGCTATGCACAGCTTTCTGATTTGTTAGTTATTCTTTAGAGGATCTGAGTGCACCTTGAAGGTATCGGGGCTGACTAATTTTATTCCTGCATGGATCAGGCATTTTGTACTGCTTGGTGGCCGCAGACTGTTTCCTTAGGTGATCTACAAGTGTGAGATATTGGTCTCAAGAAGCATTAAACTGGCATCATCAGATCCATTGGCGATGTTAGGAGAATATAATCTCAGGAGCAATGGTATGCCGCAAGTGTCCTTCTCACGTACAAAGGACCAAACGTTTTTCCATGCCAGTGATTTTTCAAATTCTTTTGGCATTTAGATTCTTTTTTACCCCACCAAATGAAATCGTACTTGGAAACTCAATATAAAAATCAAATCGAAGAGGAACTGTTCTGATTGAATATTGAGCATTCTGATACCCGTGTATTTACCCCCATATTCCTTTGGACTACCTGCAAAAATTTTCTAGGGCTTCAGTAAATAGATTGTTAAAATCACTATATTATGAGTTCTTTAAAGCTGGTTAGGACCCCTACTCAACTTCAGAGAAGAAACTGAGGCATGAAGGGGCTGAAGCTTACTTTGCCAAGGTCATGCTGTGTGTTTGTATCAGTCAGGAACTGTACCTGGCTGATCTGAAAATTGATTTAAGCAACAGAACTTTATTTTCCTCTCACCTAATAAGTTGTCCGGAAGTAGGCAATATAAGGCTGATGTGGTGGTGCCTTGAGAGCTTGAGAGATCCAAGGTCCTTGCAGCTTGCTATTCCATAATCCCTAGGGTAAATCTTCATCCCATGTTTGTAGTATGATTTCTAGAACTCCAGCCACTCGATCCAGCATCTCGAAGATATAAAAAAGTGGAACAGAAGGGGCCTGCCATCTGAGTCAGTCCCTTTAAAGAGGGCTTTCTAGAAGGCCTCAATGCCTTTTACTTACATCTCACGTAAGTCATAAACTTAAGCTGGGCATTCTGTTGGGCCTAGCAATATGGGAGCTCTGACGAAGGAGAGAATTGTTACTGGGTAGGTAACTAATGGTTCTCCACAAATATGACATCCTTACCCTCTAAGTGAGCACGTGTCTTGGGATTAGTTCCAATTGCAGATAACCTGCCTGTTCTCCTCCTAAACCCACAAAGTCAATATTTTCAGCACCTCAGGCTGTTTTTCCTCTTCAGAAAAGGCTCAAATATCCTTTGTCAGATTCATTGGTCCTGAATTTTATTTTAGAAAATGAAATGTTCATAAAATAACTTAACTTGTTATTTGCTCAAATTGCTTGACGGGTCATTTTTTTTTTTAATATTGTTCATGTGTGGATTCTCTTCAAGTGGCAGGTAGAAAGGTATCAATAGGTAATACATGGGGTTGGTGATCAAAAGTGGGATCCAGATTATTCTTCGGGGCACATTAATCCCCATCCTTTGACCTTTTACCACATGAAGGTCTTCACTGATTTCTCACTGAAGTTTTATCATTCCCTACACGTTTTCCTGTCCACCTAATCACAGGTGATAGGGCACTATTGGCACATGCTGAGCCGCCACTGTCTGTGATGTGGTATGGAGGACAAATGTTGGACATAGACTAAAAAAATATGGACTCAGCTCTGTGCCTTCCCAGGGGCCTAGCTGTGACCCTAAGACAAGCCTCTTCAGGCCTTCAGTAAAATCGGCGGCGGTGGCGGGGGGTGGGGGGTTGACTAGATGAGCTCTGTAGACACCTGTCAAGTCAAACATTCTGATTGTATCTCCTGCTTTCATTCCGCTTCCCTTGCCCTCACCTGGATTGGAATGTGACCTACAAATGCTGCCAGGCACTGTGTGAGGGCTCTTGCAAGTCACCTGTCCCCTTTCTGCCACCAGAAAGAAATGTGATAAAAACCAGCCTGTTTTCTTTAAGTTTCCCCGAAGAAGATTTGTTTTCCACACTCTAGGAAGAGGTTTTCTTAGTGTAGGTCTTTAACTAAAATGCCTCCAGTTGTAATTTAATGCCTTTTTGCTTTTGCCCTGTTGTTTGTATGATTCTTGTCTGGTTATTCATAGGAAAACTTCAGACAAAATCAAAATTGCAATAGGATCAAGAACATTTTCCACAGGAAGATATAGGATCCAGATTTCTCACTGTCTATTCATGATTTCACTTTTTAGTTCATTCAATCAACTGATCAAGAAACCTGAGTGCCTATGTGCAAGTCATGCTTGGAAAATGTGGGCTTCCACCCTGACCTGGTCTATACTGTAGATAAAAATGCCATTGTGTGTCAGGTCCTGTCCCATGTGTGTTACATTCTTAGTTAATCTTTACAACAGCTGTATATATAGGGATTTATTATGGAATTTTATTGCTTTTGTCTGCTCCCTCTTTAGACTAGAGGGGCTACACAATACTCCTTCCCTAATAATTTATTTACCTAATTTGGGGGCACCTATTATGTGCGAGGCATTAGGGTTATGACCAAATAAGACAGAAAGGGTTTACCTGACAGGCCTGCCAATCTGTTAATCATAGTGCTCTGACTACTCCAAGCTTGGCCCATCACGAAACTTTGCGTCTTTTTTGATAGTGATTGGGCTGAGGCTTAGGAGAAAGACCCAAGCAGAACCAGTTAGAGTTTTTATATGCCATGTGATCTGATTCTGGTTGTTGGAAAAGACAAAGTTTCTTTTTATTCGTTTGAGCCCTAGATTCAGTGTATATGGTAGCTACTCCACTATTAAGCTTTCCAGTTTCATAAAGCAATAAAATCTTTTTGCCTAAATCATGGGTTCGAACCGTATAAAACCTCCATTTTTTTTTCATATTGGATATCAATAATTTCATTTAGTTTAACCTAATGATTTGACTTTCTGCTGCCTGCAATTGAAAGAATCCTGACAAATATGGTAGGATTGTTAGTAGAGTAGGAAAAATGAAGCTAGGGGTATTTATTTACTCCAGGTCATTTGGCTATTAGGCATAGCAAGAACTAAAACCCAGGTAACTTCAAAGCCTATTTTCCTGATTACTCTGGTACCAACCATAAAGTCAGACAAAAACTGAAGAGAAGAGACTTGTACTTAAGGAATGGTCCATAGGCAGTTGCCTACCAGCAAACTCTTCACTACTGGTCCAGGAGGTGGTAGGAAGTAATGAACCGGAATGTAAACAAAATATATCTCTAAGCACACTCTTTCAAGTTCAGCTGACATGTTTGTTTGTTTCTTTGTTTTTTTTGTTTTAAATAGCAAGACTTTCTTGATAAAGTAAGCAGTATGTTGATTTAGATTCTGATGCATGCTCTTTGTCTCCTCTTGGGCTGCATCAAACTGTGGACAGGTACTTGGAGGAGCACTGGTAAGGGACTGTTGGGTTTGCTGCCTAGCTGACAACCATCCTCCTGTCTCTAGAGACTTCCACAGAAGCTGGGTCTTTATCATGTGACCTTTTCCCCCTCTTCTGTTGGTCACAACTGATTTGTTCAGGTCTTTTGTTTGAGTCAAGCTAGATGAACCAGATTTTCCTAAGAATATGGAATCTTAAAAACAGCAACAAAGGAACTGGGAGATGTGAGTTGCTGAGCTACAAAAATAGAATAAGCTCAGAAACTCTTGTTTTCATATCTCTGGAGCTGGTGTGATTCTTGACTTCTGAGGAGTTGCTGTCAATCTTACATCTTCTAAGGTTATGAATATCCTTTTGAATAAATTCCCTTTTGTCTTAAGCTAGTTGGTTTCAAGAGAACTTTAATACCATTGAAAAATATAGGAAAGACTCACCTGTTCCTGACTCAGTCCCTGACTTCTTTCTTTCTTTCTTTCTTTCTTTCTTTCTTTCTTTCTTTCTTTCTTTCTTCTTCCTTCTTCCTTCCTTCCTTCCTTCCTTCCTTCCTTCCTTCCTTCTTCTTTCTTCTTTCTTTCTTTCTTTCTTTCTTTCTTTCTTTCTTTCTTTCTTTCTTCTTCTTCCTTCCTTCCTTCCTTCCTTCCTTCCTTCCTTCCTTCCTCTTTCTTTCTTTCTTTCTTTCTTTCTTTCTTTCTTCTTTCTTTCTTTCTTTCCTTCTTTCTTCCTTCCTTCCTTCCTTCCTTCCTTCCTTCCTTCCTTCCTTCCTTCGAAACACTGAGACAGAGGCAAAGACATAGGCAGAGGGAGAAGTAGGCTCCCTGCAGGAAGCCCAATGTGGGACCTGATCCCATGACCCCGGGATCATGACCTGAAGGGTAGGCAGACACTCATACACTGAGCCACCCAGGTGCTCCCTGATGCAAAATTCTATTTATCATTACAATTATTAGGTAGCCTGTATGACACTGTCCTCCATAACTCTAGGTCTCAGTAATAGTTTGGAAATGTTGCTACCTAAGCTGGGGACCCCACTATAAAATGGAAACAAAGATATACATAATCCATTACCCCTGGTGACTAAAGTAACTCTGATAAATACTAAACATCTTAATTAAGGCAGATAAATAATAACCTTTGTCTGTTTAACTATAGATAAATAGGACCCAAATGAATGAATGAACTCATTGCTAACTTTAGGAACACTACTACTCTGAGATGGAGCACTCACATCTGCCCATTTAGCTGGCTTTCAAAGAATGACCATGTGATCTGGGAAGACAGACATTATGTCCACCAGCTAAATGCAAATGACAGTTTCTTGAATTCATACTTGGCTTTTGGAAAAAAAAAACAACAACAACAGTGGAAACACAACCTGAATCCTCTTGTTACTTGGCTATATCTTTTTAGATGCAATATTTGATTTAAAAAATATTTGGCTGCCTCCTGAGATCATCTCACTATTTGAAGTTGCCAGTCCAGACAGAAGCAAGTCTCCTCCAACTTGGTGAAGGAAGCAGTGAAAGTGGAGGTTTGAAGATCCTTAGCAGCTAGAAGGAGCTGTATGGAGTGAGATCGGGAGGAGAAAGAAAGCATGCACACTGCGTCTGCTGCTCTTACTTCAGTGGCGGAAAAACAGTGCTGGAAGGTGCTGGGAGAGGCTTTAAAGCTTGAAGCTTTCATCGTTTATTTCTGAATCCAGACAATCGTCTCCTCTGTGCTTACCTAAAATCTCTGTGATCTTGGTTCTGAATAGGTTAATCTATTTTTAAAGGGTATCCAAATGCTATTAGGATAATTCTTGCATTCCTTTGCTCTTTCTATTTAAAAATTAAAGTACTTATAGTAATAGATATCTCTGCCAGTATAGCCAAGAGGATCACCTACAAATGCTCTCTGAATAGAAAAAAATACTTGAACCTGAGATTCAAATATCTATGCTTATAATTCTCTACATATAAAACCTCTTCTTAGTCTCTGTTTAAATTCTAATGATTTAGGGCCAGAGTTCTTTTTTTCTTAATTGTATTGCTAGGCATATATTAGGCATAATCCATAAGATTTTCAACATGATATCATACATCCAGCATTTTTTATTGTACTAAATTTCAGGGCTAATTTAAGTTTAAACTCTTTATTTTAGAAAATCAGTAACAGCAACTAATTAGCACATCTCATTCTGGATGTATTTGCCAACCAATTTCAGAGACTCATTTGCCTGTTAAGAGATTTTATTGAACACCAGCACCACAGACTCTCCTTTTTTTCTAGTAAACAGCTCATGCTTATTATCTTATTACAGGAATGCCACTGGTTAAATCAGGCTCTGAATATAAATAGCCATATTACTGCCATCAGGCATCAATGTTTATTTAGTGGCTGTGAGTCATGCATACCTCTTTGATCGGGTTTGGAATGAGCCGTTGCAGTTTTTGTTCAAAAAGGTTATTTGCAAAGGCTACAGAAGTATCAGTTAGATTAAACATGAAATTAATCAGTGTGGAATTTTATCAGCCATTTCTGCCACCAAACACCAGGTGTCAAGAGCACGTGCAAATGAGGGCTGAATGTAATGAAACTGGGGGACAGTTTAGTAGGGAGGTCAGAAAAGATTCCAAGAGGTCTACCATGCTCAGGGAGGAAAGGTGGAGGGAGGGAGGGATGGATGGAAGGAAGAAGAGGGGATAGGGAAGGAAGGAAAGAAGGAAAAGAGGGAGGAGGGAAGAAAGGATGGAAAGAAGGAAGGAAAGAAGGAAAAGAGAGAGAAGGAGGAGAGAAGGAAGGATGGAAAGAAGGAGGAAGGAAGGAAGGAAGGAAGGAAGGAAGGAAGGAAGGAAGGAAGGAAGGAAGGAAGAAATATTGACAGCCTACTGAATCATCTGGAACTCATTGGCAGTTTCACCTTGTGTATCTCATGGCACAGGATATGGAAAGGGAGTCAGGTGACCTGGGTTAGCCTGAGCTCTGCCCTGTCCTACCCAGGGATCTTTGGGAAACTGTTCAATGCAGTACATGCATTACGAAGGATACACATAGAATATATGATAAACTTGTACAAAAGCGTATTTTCTACCTCAACATTTCTTGAGACTGAAGGAACCAGATAGCAAGAGACCTGAGATAGCTGTCATACGGTTTTAGTTGATGAAACCGTGTTGGTGGAGGAGAGGAGGCCCCTTGACTGAGGGCTCATTTAAGCTGGGTCCGTTCATTCCTTCAGCATTTAGTGGGTGCTCAGCCTGTCAAGCACATGTGCTGAGGAAAGCCTGTGAATCATTATAGCGTACCACGTATAGTGCTGTGATGATTGCCACTATAAATTTCTGGTGACCTCGCTCTCAAGGAGTCGTCATCACTGCTCACCAGAATTCAGCATTTCCATCCGGCCACTCTCCCTGCAGCTACCTTACTGCTTATTTCTGGTGTTCTCTACTGTCTTCCAGCTTCCGTCTTTCCCTGAGTTTGTCTTCCTCTCGGCAGATGATCCAACCTTCCATACAGTGAAAATGAATTCACTCACATCCACACTCATCTCTCTTTCTCCCTTATTCTCATCATAAAGAACATCTTCCTCTTCTAGGAGGCAATCCTACCTGTTGTTTGGATCCTATCTCTTCCCAGAGTCCTTTTTCTATTTAGAATCTTCCATTCTTCCCTCTGAACTGGCTCTTTCCCATCAGTGTATAAAAATGCTTAGTGTTTTCTAATTTTAAAAAAGTCCTCCTTTGAGAGCACCTCTTCCTTTCTCATTACAGATAACTTCTTGAAAGGATTGTCCACCTAGAACTCTCACTTCCTCAGGTTCTACTTTATCTTAGGTCGGGTTGTCTGGGAAACATTGACCCAGAGAGATTTGCATGCATGTGGTATATGAGGGCAGGTGCTCTAGAAATCACCTTGAGTGTGGGATAAAGGAATCAGGATTGGCAATGGAGATACAACAGTGGCATCATCCAAATCTAGGGAACTTTAGAAAGGCATGGCCTTTCAGAGATGACCTGAATTGAGGCAAAGGGGACAGGCCTTTGTAACCCCACATCAACGTGTCATTGGATGCACACAGCAGGTATATACACTTGGGCAAGGCAGCTTTCTTTGATAAAAGGTAATTCTTGGAGAAGGATCTGGCCATGGGCCACCAGTGGGCAACAGTCCTGGCAGCTGGGAGAAAGAGTGCTGCATTCCTTTAGGGGATTTCTTTATATATTATATATATATATATATATATATATATATATATATATATATATATATATATGATAGTCACACACAGAGAGAGAGAAATAGGCAGAGACACAGGTAGAGGCAGAAGGAGAAGCAGGCTCCATGCACCAGGAGCCCGATGTGGGATTCGATCCCGGGTCTCCAGGATGGTGCCCTGGGCCAAAGGCAGGCGCTAAATCGCTGTGCCACCCAGGGATCCCCCTTTAGGGGATTTCTGGGTGGCATAGCCTAGTGCATACTGCTTACCTAGCCTTCTATAATCTGGCTTTCTCTTGAGCTCCAGACTCTACCTACATTCAGTTGCCTATTGGCCATTTTCATCTGGACATTTCACAAAAGCCAATGAAACATACTCATATTTAACTCATTACTTTTACTCACTCGTTCCTTAGGGTTCTTTATCTTGGTAAATGGAAGATAGAAGATAACTTGTGAGAGTTATCCTTTCTCTCCTTTGTGGATTACTTCAGAGTCTGTTTGTTCTTTGGAGCCCTTCTGAGGAGGCTTGTGTGCCAAATACACATGCGTATTAAGAAACCTGCTGTCTCTTTTTTGCATCCTGTCATGAAACAGGAGTCAGGGTGGCAATTCAGCATACTGTGTTATAGCACAGCTGTCCTCGTTCACTTCACTTTGCTTCATTCTCACTTACTTGGGCTTGCATCTACCAAATATATTGTTATGACCTTCACTCTGGTCTCAGGCCTTGCTTTTTGAGGATCCATGGAAAGATATCACCTATCCCTAACATCCTGCTTCCCAATAAGTCATACCGATTCCAACTTCTAAATAACTCTTCAGTCTGTTCTTTTGTCAACATCTCCATTGCCACCACCCTTCATCAGGCACCATCACTTCCTCTTGGGTCATCACCTCAGCCTCCTAACTGGTCTCCAGGCTTGCTCCCCTACAAGCAATTCCCCAAGCTCTAGCCTGACACACAGTAAGAACTTGATATTAGTTGCCAGAGTGAATGAATACATGAATAGGTGTATCACAGGGGATTGCATATTATAACTGAGCTACTTTATAACATTGACATAGGAATTTTTCCTAGAATTTTTTAGAGTGTGCCCGAGTTGGGGAGGGGAGGGGCCAAAGGAGGGGAGAGAGAGAATCTTAAGCAGTCTATACACCCATCATAGAGCCTCATGTGGAGTTCAATCCCATGACCTTGAGATCATGACCTGAGCTGAAATCAAGAATCAGATGCTTAGCCAACTGAGCCACCCAGGCGCCCCTTTCCTAGAATTTTTTAACATTTGACACTTGATTTTCCCCTTTGGGAAGAATCACACATGAGTGGACCATCTGGTGACCTCATAGACAGAGGCCAAAGGCTTCCAGAGGGAGATTAGAATTCTTTTTAAAAAAATATTTTATTTAAATTCAATTTGCCAACATATATTAAACACCCAGTGCTCATCCCATCAAGTGCCCTCCTTAGTGCCTGTCACCCAGGCACCCCATCCCCCGACCAGCCTCCCCTTCTGCAACCTTTTGTTTGTTTCCCAGAGTTAGGAGTCTCTCATGGTTTGTCTTCCTCCGTGATTTTTTCCTGCTCAGTTTCCCTCCTTTCCTTTAGAGTCTCTTTCACTATTTCTTTTATTCCACATATGACTGAAACCATATATGATAATTGCCTTTCTCCAGTTGACTTATTCAGTCAGCATAATACCCTCCAGTTCCATCCACATCAAAGTAAATGGTAGGTATTCATCCTTTCTGCTGTTTTTTTTTCTTTTTAAATTATAGTTGAAGTTTCCTCTCTCCCTCTCTCCCTCCCTCCCTCTCTCTTTCCTTTCTTTTTTTCTTGTTTCTTTGTTGTTGTTTTTCTTCTTTCCTAGATGGGGGTAATCCACACAACACTTTTATTCTTCTCTGCTATTCTTCTACTTCTAAGCTTTCAGGGGTTTTTAGGTTGAGTAGTAGTAGATGTGGAGCGCTTAGAGCTGTGCTAGGTACCTATTAGGGACAAAATAGAGTTTCCTAGGAAGCAAAATAAAGTAGAGATCTAAGTGGTCATCGACCTAAAATTGGCACTGTCCAGGTGAGTTACTTAGTTTCTGTGCAATATGTTTTTGTGTATATAAAATGTGATTTGAACCTTGAGATTGTAGAATTAATATTCAATTTAGAAAAGTTAAAATGTAAAAATAAAATGAGTTTTCCTTAAGCTTTTAAGTTCAAATTATAATTTTTATTTTAAAAATAAAAACAATCATAATCAAAATAAAAAATAACCCAGAGAGGTATTTACCTATAATTTGATTGAGTAGCTGAACTGAACAAATTTCCCCCAGTCTGTCCTTTTTACATCTCAATTTTTAAAATTCCCTTGAACATCTTAAACTGCATTTATAAAGTGAGTGTATCTGATTATTTAAAGCCCTTCTACTGCCCAACCTGCCCGCCAAAGTCTTCCCAG